CTTGCAGTCAGCAAAATTCGATCTTCTTCGTATGTTGCTGTCGAAGATGCGCGAGAACGCTGAAGAGATGGGGTTGACTGGTGATATGCAAGTTCACGTCATTGAAGTGAAACCGATTCCTAATAAGGTTTGAGAAATACAGTGGATACAAGGTACTGCAACTGCCTAATTTCGTGTTGCAGATGCCTCAGCAATCCATAGACGACGCTTTTGGAGAGGTCGCGATGCCAAGGCAATCGTTTGGACAGTGGCGAAATAGCGAGGAAGAGCACAACGAAATGTGAGTTGGAAATTTCCAGGACGCTTCTGCGCGTGTAACTCTGGTAAAAGCGAGCCGGTCTGCTAGTAGCTTGGAACACTTTGAGCGCAGTTTCATTAGGAATCGTGGCACACACGCACTTGATTTCGAATGATCAAATGACGAGGTGCGCTGCTGAAAATACTACCACCCTGTGAGCCACGGGAGAAAAGAGGCCTTCAGGACTCGCCATGAGGGGAGAACAGCACAGAATTTTCGCTGGGTTGATAACGGGACGCCTACCACATTGCGTTCAATTTAGAGGCTACACAAAAGGCCAGAAAATCTCCCCATGCCTCAATTACCTCAATTTTGTTATTAATTTCCGCGCTAATGAATGAGCCTCTCTTCGTAATCTTCCCCGAAGCGTAGATTCATGACCCAACAACCTTGTCCCTTTTTTAGGGGAAACCGTGTTGATTTGCCGTGGCAGTTTGATCGCGAGAGCTCTCGTCCAGCTCCATGGGTGCGACCATTCGAGAGGTTAGTGATCTTGATTTTGTTGGTTTCGATATCGAGTTATCATATACAAGTCCACAATTAGGGAAGTGACCAGAAAGCACACGCTCGAATAGAAGCGTGAAAATGGAAGAGCTGCCATCTGCCCCGCATTTTCTTTGCGAGCAGTGAGTAAAACGAAGCCTGTTGTCAAGTGCTCAGCTCATTGTCACTTATGGTACCCTGAACCTTAGGTGCATGGTGTTCCTGCTGCGAAGCGACTGGAGCATCGGAAACGATCACGCAACAGCTAGAATTTTTGATAGGGTCTGGGGTCGAAAAGCCCATGTGCAGGGAACACTACACAATTGCAGCTTTCGATGCCTTAAGCCTCAGTCTTCTACATAGATCCAGTAGAAGACTGAGGCTTAAGGCATCGAAAGCTGCAAATCTTGTCGCAAGGCAGGGGATGAGCCTTTTAGGGGGGAGGGGACTTCGAGCTGGATGTGTCATTTAGCATGATGAAAAGTTGGAATATATAAGGTCACGGTGGTATTACGCT